CCATGCTTTTTCAGTCACAGTCCAGCTGGCCTTGGTGAGCTCCCAATGGATCAGCCCCACTGTCTCAGTGGGTAGGTGCACCCCTCGCAGTCCTGACTTCCTTGCTCATGTTCTCCCTCCTTCTGCTCTTCATTGGGACCTTGGGAGCTCAATCCGATGCTCCAGTGTGGGTCTCTGTCTCTATCTCCAACGCCAATGCAAGAATTCATCCAACAATCTGAAAAACAACATGAAACCACCAGAACCCAGCGACCTCACAACAGGAGGACATGAACACCTTAATCAAGAAGAAGTAGAAAAAATGGACTTTATGAAAGTTATTGACGTCCTTAAACAGCATGTAAAAAATGCCCTTATAGAAATGGGTGAGAAGTATAACAGAAAGTTTGAAGAATTGAATAAAGCAGTGAATGATACCCTAGGAAACCAAAGAAAAACAATCAATCAGATAATGGAAACAGTTCAAGACTTGAAAACTGAATTGGAGACAAGGAAGAAAGCACAAACAGAGGGCCGGCTGGACATGGAAAATCTAGGTAAACGCATAGAGACGACAGAAACAAGCATAACCAGCAGAATACAAGAGATAGAAGAAAGAATCTCAGATTCTGAAGATAACATAGAGAAAATAAACGCACTGATCCAAGATAACAGCAAGTCCAACAAACTCTCATCACAAAACATTCAGGAAATATTGTCTGATTTTATAGAATATTCCGTGCATTATGGCCAGAGGAAGTATGGTCTCTGTCTTGCAGTTTAAAGACTAGAATCTATTATTTTATGGGAGAAAGTGAAAACAAGAATTGAAGATGAAAAGTCGATAGAAACAAAATGTTGAAATTAGGTAATGACTCAGGAGAAACAATTAAAAATTAGGTCTTTAGAAAAGAAAATACCGTTTTTAAAAAAGCATCATGATTGGGAATGAGTAACTGAATTAAGAGCTTCCATAAATTACACAGCAATGTCTCGGTCATGAGGTCTTACTTAATCTATATTTGGAACATAAAATAAGCTAACTGTGTATTTAAGAAACCAAAGGAGATATGTTAAAGCCCAAGAATTATACATACTCTGTAACCCTATGTATTATCTTTGATTTTGTGATCCTTTGATTGGACCCATATTATATAACAGGCTTTATGTAGAATTAATCTGATATTTTCCTCCTGACATTACTCATTCAACCCAGGGATATTCAACAAGAAGCACAAGACCCAAAACCAGAGCCAGAATTCAAACCTGTGTAGCTGCCAGATGTTTTCTCCTTTTATTAATTACTTTGTGGGATTTTTCATGGAAGACTTAAATGAAGAAAGTTACAACAAATGAAACAGAAGGCCTGTGGAAATATATGGGAGAAAAAGAAGCAGCAAAATATATTGTTTCTCCTAAAGGGCGCACTAGAAACAGTCTCATTGTGTAGGATAAACTTCTCTGGATGTTTCTATTATCTTTGATAGCATCATAGTGTTTCCTATGGATCTTCCTTTCTTAGTAAAATACTGATTCTGTTCTGCTTTACAAATCATTTTCTACCCGTTTCTCCATTGTTTACTCATAGAAAACCCATGTGGAAAGAATAAGTATTGCTCCTCATGTTTTTACAGACTGGAGAACCGAGTCCTCGTGGATTCCTTTGTTTGCCAGAGTGTTCTAAGTGACAGAAAAGCTTTTGTTACCGTGCTGTGTGTTGGAGGACAGGGGGCACTGAGTAATGTTGGTGTCTTCTTCAGTCAAGCCCCACTTTGTGTTTTGAGGCAGGTCTCTCCATGAACCTGGAGCTTGTTACCAGGCAAGTCGTAGGAGAGTTCCAGCAGTGGGATTATATAAACCCTCAGTTTCCTGCCAGGTCCCTGGGTCCTGGGATTGAACTCAGGTCCTGTGGATACAAGGCAAACCCTTTATGGATTGATCAAATCCCTTCCTGATCCACTTAGTACAATCTGTTTTTACAGTATCAGCTGACTGTATTATTTTAGAAAACAGGAAATCAGAGTAAAGCTTTCCAGTTTAATGACTTAAAGCATGTTGAAGCATAAGGTCTGGGGAGAGAGAATGGTTAAGAGCACTGGCTGTTCTTTCAGGGCGCCTGGGTCCAATTCCCAGCACCGAATGAGAAGCTCACAATTATCTAACTCCAATTTTAGAAGATTTGACAGCCTTTTTTGGTCTCTGAGGCATCAGGGACACATGTGGTAAACAGATATACATGCAGGCAAGACACTTACATACATAAAAAAGTAAAGGATATTTAAACAGTTAATTAAGAAATTTACATATATGCAAAGCTTTATTTCTCCTGTTAGAGGAAAAGCAATGGGGTAGACAATCTACAGAGTAAGGTTCGTTTCTGATAGGCCATGACTTCCTGATACAGATTGGGATGCTCCAGCTTCTTTCCTCCATCTACTGTTCCACCTGTCCTTCTACAACATGACTTAATTTTACAGCGTCGTTTGGAAACATGGTAGAACATAGGTTTTAAAGAGTCTCTACTTAAATGCATTTATGTTTATGAAAGGAGTGATACAATATTACTGGAATGTGGATGCTAATGTTGACAAGAAATGGCCAAACACTTACTTGAGAAAAGGGTTGGAGAAGGACCAGTAATCAAAATTGTGTTTTTACCAATTAAGAGGAAATAAACAGGTAATGTCATTCTTTTCATCTGTTCCCATGCAACAGTCAAACACAAATGAGACACATACAAAATCCTTTTCATTTTTTTAGTAGGTAGGCTCAATCAAAGTGTATAAATCACATAATACCTCTCCTGTGCTCTCCTCTCCTGTGCTCTCCTTTCCTCTCCTGTGCTCTCCTCTCCTGTGCTCTCCTCTCTTCTCCTGTGCTCTCCTCTCCTGTGCTCTCCTTTCCTGTGCTCTCCTCTCCTGTGCTCTCCTCTCCTCTCTTCTCCTCTCCTCTCCTCTCCTGTGCTCTCCTCTCCTGTGCTCTTCTCTCCTCTCTTCTCCTCTCCTCTCCTCTCCTGTGCTCTCCTCTCCTCTCCTGTGCTCTCCTCTCCTCTCTTCTCCTCTCCTCTCCTCTCCTGTACTCTCCTCTCCTCTCCTGTGCTCTCCTCTCCTCTCTTCTCCTCTCCTCTCCTCTCCTCTCCTCTCCTCTCCTCTCCTGTGCTTTTCTCTCCTCTCCTCTCTTGTGCTCTCCTCTCCTCTCCTGTACTCTCCTCTCCTCTCTTCTCCTCTCCTCTCCTGTGCTCTCCTCTCCTCTCTTCTCCTCTCCTCTCCTCTCCTGTGCTTTTCTCTCCTCTCCTCTCTTGTGCTCTCCTCTCCTCTCCTCTCCTGTGCTCTCCTCTCCTCTCTTCTCCTCTCCTCTCCTGTGCTTTTCTCTCCTCTCCTCTCTTGTGCTCTCCTCTCCTCTCCTATGTCCTCCTCTCCTCTCTTCTATTGTGCCCTCCTCTCTTCTCCATGTATACTTATACCTGTGTACATGTGCCTGGATGTCAGTGGATGTCAGAAGAGGGTATAAGATACTCTGGAGGTGGAATTATGTACTGTTGTGAGCCAACCAACATGGGTACTGGGAACTGAAGTTACATTCTCTGAAAGAGTAATATGTGCTCTGAACTATTGAGCCATCTTTTCAGTCCCAAGAATAAACACTTTTAATTATGATTTTTTTTTATTTTTTATTTTTTAAATTTATTTATTTATTAAGGATTTCTGCCTCGTCCCCACAACCGCTTCCCATTTCCCTCCCCCTCCCCCGATCAAGTCCCCCCCCCTCATCTAAAGAAACATTTAGAATTTACAGTGACTTGAGGACATTAAGAAGTAGATAAAAACACTATTCAAAAGAAAATCTATAAAGCTAGCCACTGTTCCTACTAGAACAAAACTATAATGAATATATTATAGTATTATATTGTATTATATTATATTATAATACTCAGCAAGATGGATAGTAAGAACAAAAAAGCCTGCAAAACAGGAAGAAGGAGTTTGTAAAAATAAACCTAAAAATTACAATAAAATTATTTAAAAAGATAAACTAATAAATCAGAGTTAATTTTTTCCAAGAGAATAAAAAACTGTAAACAAGCTAGTTTCAAGTGATTTAATTCCTAAACAAGAAAGCCACACATGCACAAGTAAAAAGTGAACAGAGAAACAATTCAAGAAATGAATAAATTAAAGCAACTACAACACATTTTCCCCATATAAACTTAAATTTTCAATGTGATCGATGAATTCAAGTAAATATAAATCACCAAAGAGATCCAAGAGAGATAAGAAATTCAGATTGAATAACTACCGCTAAATATATAGTTGCATGCATATATACTCAGGGTGGCATGGTTGTGTATTTATGTGTTAGACTAATAGGATAGTAACCTCTGTAAGACCTCTATAAGATACATATTTATTTTTTTTACCCCAACCTCTTTTTGTAAAGATGTGTGTGTGTGTGTGTGTGTGTGTGTCTTTCTAGAAGAGGCTGTCAAAACTCCTGTTGTTATATGTATTTGTGAGAAACCCTGTGTGGATAAGACTGACCTCCTGTCTTGTGGAAGATCAGCAAGTGTTCTTTACTAGTTGGCTACCTGGGCAGATGTAGTGATAGGAGTGGTGGGCTGTGTTCTGCCACTGGGCTCCGGCATGGCTAGTTTTATACCCGAAATAATTACACGGAAACTGTATTGTTTTAAACACTGCTTGGCTCATTAGCTCTAGCCTCTTACTGGCTAATTCTCACATCTTAATTAACCCATTTATAATAATTTGTATAGCACCACGAGGTAGCTGCTTACCGGAAGATCTTAACCTGCATCCATCTTGGAGAGGAGAGCTATGGCGACTGACTGACTTGGCTTCTTTCTCCCAGCATTCTGTTTCTGTCTACTCCACCCACCTAAGGGCTGGCCTATTAAAGGCCAAGCAGTTTCCTTATTAATTAACCAGTGAAAGCAACAGATAGATAGATGACACTCCCCACATCAGGCAGAGCTACCTCTTAAATCTTCAATTTTTCTCTTCCAGAATACCTGCTTGAGAAGTTAATTGACAAGAGTCTCTGGTGAGTCTGAGGTGCATCCCACTTCTGCTTTGCCAGCGTGAGTGCGGTCAAGCATCAGATGGGCTCTTCACCTTTTCCCCAGTTACCTTTCCTTCTAAGGACAGAATGAATCATGAAAAGAGCATTGCCTTTTTTAGTTGTCACTTCTTATCCCTTGTTATAATCTACCATGTGTGCCACCATTGCTCTGCGGATTCTTTTCATCCCTTAATTGAGGCCTTTGGGCTAGATGTATGGTTCTTGTTCTTTCCCAGGGAAAGTGTGTATATGTAACTAATTGTAGGTTACACAGTCTTTAAATTCTCTCTCTTTCTCTGCCTGAGTTCTAGAGCACACTAGAACTCCTTTTCCCCTCATTTTAAATACCGCCCACAGTTTCCCCTCCTTTCTCTCTTACCATTCTCTCCCCTCCACTCCCATCTACCCACTTCTCAATCTCCATTCAGAAAGGACCAGGCCTCCCATGGAGTTGGTCACAGCATGGTGCATCTAGTTGAGGTAGGACCAAACTCTTCCCCCTGTATAAAGACTGGACAGTGTAATCATCATGGGGAACAGGTTCCTAAAAGCCATCTAAACATCAGGGACAGGTCCTGATCTAACTACTACTAGCCTTACAAACAGACCAAGCTGTACAACTATTACACACATACAGAGGGCCTAGATAGGTTCCATGCAGGCTCCCTAGCTGTTCCAGAGTCCTTGTGTTCCCATGAGATCAGGTCAGCTGTCTCTGTGGGTTCCTATGTCATGACCTTGACCCCCTAGCACCTACAATTCCTCCTTCTTTTCTTTAGGAGGACTCCCAGAGCTCAGCCCAGTATTTGCTATGGATCTCTGCATCTGATTTTCAGTTACTGGATAAAGGTTCTGTGATAACAAATAGGGTAGTCACCAATCTGATTACAGTAGATGGCCAGTTTAGGCACCCTCTCCACTATTGTTAGGGCTCTCAAGTTAGCTTACCTCTAACATTTCCCAGCCTGAGGACCACACTCTGAAACCCCAGAGAAAGGTTTCAGAGAAGGTTGTGAGAAGCACAACAGAGATGGAAGATCCTCTGGAAGCAGCACCATAATTTGGATTTTAGCCCTTATTTTTCTTACTGTAGGGTCTTGACATGTTAGGGAACCTCTCTGCACTTCAGTTTCCTCATCTATAGTAGAATAGTATTTATTTTACCGAATTGTAAAGATTACATGGATAGTACATGTCTTAGAAGAGTGAACTGTCATCATGTCTGCCTCTAGAATGTAGCATGATAGCCTGTAGAACAATATGCTTATCTTCTTCCCTGTTTGTTTTGCTGATGGCTGTAATACCACCTTTGCCTTTGTGACTCTGTGGTAGGGCTTATTTTCTGTTAAGTGTATAAGTATTGCTTTAAGTAGGCAGTTTGGAGATTCCTGACTAGAGTTAACTAGGTTGCAGAAGGAAGTGATTAAACTAAGGATAAACTCAGTACTAGTTATGGGAATTGTTGTTCTAAATTTCCTGATTATTGTTTTGTTTAATTTATATGAACATATTCTGCAACTGAGATGTAACTAATGTCTTTGAAAACCACAATAGTGTAAAATATAAAGTCATATTTTTACTTAATGATAAACATTGTTTTCCTTGATTGGCACTTAAAATCTAGAAATTAATTAAACCCAACCATACTTTTGTGAGTCAGCATATACATGCTAACTGTAATTAAGAAACAAAGATATACAGAGAATAAAAAATAAAAGTTAAAATAAACAAAAAAAAGAAACAAAGAACAAACTATATGACAATGGTGCTTACCTTCAGTGCCAGCAACTGGGAGGTAGAAACAGACAAATCTCTGTGAGTTCAAGGCCAGCATGGTCTAGAAAGTAAGTTCCAAGACAATCAGGGCTACATACAGAAGAAACCTTATCTGAGAAAACAAACAAAAACAACAGCAGAAGCAAGAGAGAGAGAGAAAGAGAGAGAGGAGAGAGAGAGAGAGAGAGAGAGAGAGAGAGAGAGAGAGAGAATCTATACTATAGTCATGGGTAAGATGCATGCTTCATCTTTATTTTCAACTTTAGAAGCATTTTGGTAAGATTTAATCATGGCTAAGGAAAAAATTCGTTCAAGGTATTATTCATTTTCAAAATATTGAACTAGATTTTTTGGAGTCAGTTTTATCTTGAATTTATAAATAGTTATATGGAAACAACTCGTATAGTTTCAAAAACTGCATAGGTTGTATATAGAAGATAAAATACAAGGTTCTTATACTTAAAAGAACTACTAATTTTTGTTGAATTTCAAAGAAAATAATTAGATTATTCAAATTGCCTGGCTATCATAGTTGTGCTCTGGCCTCAGTTTGCTTTTTAAAAAATGCAGTGAGCTCTTTCCTAGTGAGCCAAGAACTCTAAGTTCTTATGATACATATATTTTTAACATCAAATTTAATATTTTGACAATGTATGAACCACATGTGAGCACTTTCTCTACAGGTTTTCTCTTGGGCGGGTGCCATCTGTGGTTTTGAAGCCAAGTGTTCTGCTGGGGCAGAATAATCAAATCAGAGTTAATGGGGTGACCATCTAAGCAGGGCTCTTTGTCATTAAGGTCCACTCTTGTGATAGTAGCACATTATCCTGCTGATTGGATTTGTAGGAAGGCATCCACCTGTGGCCCATGTTGGCAGAGAAGAGATTGACTGCAGAGGCAGCCCTGGCGAAGAAGAAGCAGGAGGTTGCTGTCCTGGGCAGCAGAGCTTTGTCTGGAGAGCCATACTTGTAGGATGGCATAAGCAATACAAGTGTTGGGTGACTCACATTATTTGGTTGATTTAGGTCCCAAAGTAAAACAACCAAGCGCAGAGGGTTAGAATCTGTACCATTAGGGCGGAAAGATTTCTCTTAACCAGGGGAAAAGCAAGTCCATGGGGAGATGTCTAGACAGCTGATCAGACAAGATTTAAACTCATGAAGCCCTTTACCTCCATGTCAGGGATGATTTTGTGTTTGGATGAGAGCTATTGTAAGAACTTTCATGTCTGTTGGGGGCACTGAGGTTCTCACAGACTATGGTAAACACAATTTGGCTCACACGCTCTCATAATCAGGCTGACTTGCAGTGAAACAGAGAGTGCTCTATAGCTGTGCCAGGCCTCTAGCAGTAACAACTGTTAAATAATAAACAGGCCATGTTTGTTGGCAGCCTCTTCCCCTCCTGCCAACGTGGAGTGCCCATTTTCTGGGTTTACCTGCCTGCATGTGTTCAGACACTCAGAACAGTGTGTGTGTTGTGAGAGGCAGTGATGGCGTGGACACATCAGTCTACATCTAATCTGCTTAGTTCATTATTCCCTCAGGGCAACGGGCAAACTAGCAAACATGAAGGGCTCGGGCAGCACAAACAACGGCCATGCAGTTCCAGTTAATGGTACAGGCTTTGTAGAGTGCACTGGCTAATTGTTTTTCTTACGTTTATTTTCTCTCTCTATTCTTGTCCTTCCTCTGAATTGATTTGGCAGGAGTATGGAATAGGGAGGATGAGAGTGATTCTGACAATATGATGCTTTACTTCAGGAAGTTAGAATGTATTGGGCTACTTCTTTTATCTTACTGGCAAGATGTGTTTGGTTGATGTGCACTGATGTGTACTTGAGTGCACAAGTATTTTCTGAAGGTCCACAAGGTACAAATAAGGTGCACACACTTGGCTCAGTGGACTTGTCCTGTAACTAAAACATGGCACACAGTCCATGGTGAGGTCAGTGTTCTCCCTCATAGTCCATCATCACATGCCTGTGGTAGAGCAGCGTCATTAAGATCCATGTTGGAAATAAGGTATTCACTCATTCTCATTCTCATTCACTCTCAGCCCCATCCCTTTCTCTGAAATAAAAGGAGTTCTACAAGTCCTCCATGTGGTCACTACCATATCCTCTCCTCTCCACACCCCACAAGAAAAGTTCCCTTGATAATCTTAGTTTTGAAATGCCAAAGAAATTTCATATATATCACAAATGCAGTGTCAAAAATAGATTCTTCGAATTCCCACAAACCCTCCCCAAGCCCCAACAAAACCAAGATAATCATCTCTAGGAATAAGCTTTGGGTTGCTCAGTCTAAGTGAGACACATTCAAGTAGGAGTTGCTAAACATCAAGGGTTGCTATGAATCAAAAAAATCCTTTCTGCCTTCCTTCCTTCCTTCCTTCCTTCCTTCCTTCCTTCGTTTTTATGGCTTTCTTTCTTTTTCTTTCTTTCTTTCTTTCTTATTTCTCATAAGTTAGGTGAAAGGCATGCCCTCAACTGCTTAATGGTAATATCACTATGAAAAATAGCCCTTTTTAGAGGTTTCTTTTAGAACCCATTTGTTTAAAATTTCCATTCACATTCCTTTGTAATGATAGCTCCTACAAGATGAAGTTATTCGTTGATTGGGATAGCAAAACCATTTGCTTGCATGAAATGAAAGTTCATTCACAGATCACTAAATATACGTTAAACTGGGGTAATCATTCAGTCTTTTTGACTAGGATATTTTTAGGTAAAGAGTAAATATTTGATGAGGGGCCCTACTAAAAGCCCAGCCAGTGGTGGTTCAGAAAGTTAGGGTGTCTAGTCTTTTCCTGGATTCATTTTCAGCAGTGTGTAGTTGAAGCTGATTACATTTTCTTTTCATGAAAAACTCAAGACCCCCTTTCTTACTATCTTTTAAGAAAGACCTTGCTCATTCAGAGTAAAAAAAAATATGTTGTCATTTTCCTTAAATTTATATTAATTTTTGAGAATTAATTTTTTAAATCTGTAGGCAAGGGCTGATTGTTTGTTCCCGGCCACACAGACCTGAAATAATCACACAGAAACTCTATTAATTAAAACACTGCTCGGTCTATTAGCTTGGGCTTCTGATTAATTCCTACATCTTAAATTAACCCATTTCTATTATTTTATTTTTTACACGAGGCTCGTGGTTTACCAGTAAGTTTCTGGCTGGTGGCTTGCATTTTTCTCTTTTGGTGGC